TCCAGGGACAGAGCAAACCTGCACTTCAAACACATTCCCGGAAAAGCATTTGACTCCAAAAGCTTGCCACAATTCCTGTGCTCCCACCACCATGCTCCTTCCTTCTGGCAAGGAGAACTTCCCAAGAGCCTGGGAGGAGCCAGCCAAACTAGGAACAACATGGCCGCTTCTTTCCCAGCTGCCTTGGGGCTTAAGGCCATCTCCTGGTTCAAACCCTAGGCCCAGGCTGGCTAGCCTCACTCCAGGGACAGAGCAAACATGCACGTCAAACACATTCCCAGAAAAGCAGTTGACTCCAAAAGCTTGCCACGATTCATTCTGCATATAATTATCATTAATATCACGTGCAAGCAAGATTCTGCTGAAAATTATCCAAAAATGACTGGAACAGCACATCAACAGAGAAGTACAAGCTGGGTTTAGAAGAGGCCGTGGTACTAGGGATATTATAGTTAATGTTAGATGGACCTTGGCTGAAAGCAGGGAATACCAGAGGATTGTCTATCTGTGTTTCATTGACTACACAGAGGCATTTGATTGTGTAGACCACAACAAATTGTGGCTGACTCTGAGAGGAATGAGAATCCCAGAACACTTGATCATGCTTATGTGAAACCTATACTTGGACCAGGAGGCAGTAGTCAGAACAGAGCAGGGAAGCACTGCATGGTTCAAAATTAGGAAGGGTGTACTCCAGGGATGTGTCCTGTCTCCATAGAAGAAATAGTAAGTTTTATAAAAAACAACCCAACACCCTTTTCCTCAGCAAGGACTGTATGTAGGTCACTCAGTAGAAACATTTTTTTACTTTTCTTGCAGTTTATTCCTTAAAGAGTTGATCTGATTTTATTGGGCAAAACAGGAACTTACTAATCAAATAAAAAAATTCATGTCAAATGGCTAGTGAGCTCTAGTAGTACTTCTGAAGGCGCCTTGGCAGTGATGGAGAGCTCCAGGTTCTGCTGAGAACACCTCAAAGAAGGAGTCTCTCCCATGTGCTTTTTGTAAATGCCCATGCTGGAAAGAAATCTCAGTGACATGAAGATACAGCTTTTCCTGTTACACAACTTCTTACACAGCCACATGCGTTACATTTATCGATGGATTTACAATTTGAAAGGGGGGATGCTTCTGTCTTAACAAAATTAAGTTTTTTATAAACTGCAGCCCCAGAGAGTTCTGTGTTCACACGCAGACACGCTGCCCCTGCTGTAGGCTGGGGAAAACATTTGTGAGCAGATTCTGGTAGCTAGGTTGAAGCTGTTCCCCCCGACACCCATGCAGCACCCTGCCAGTTTGGGTGTGGCAGAGTCCATGCTCATGTGTGCACTCCGGTTCCCTCGTTCATCTTCATCGTCTTCATCTTCCTCGTCTTTGTATTCGTCTTCTTTGTCTTCTTCATCTTGTTAGTTAACCACAAGGGCATTTACTAATACTCATCGTCTTCATCTTCCTCACTGTCAGACGGGGATGTGCAAGGCCGGATCTGTTGGTAGCGGTCATGTCTTTTCTCCACCATCTGAGTAACCACAGGATGATTTAGCCAGTGGGAGCTCTTCTGCATGGCAGCGAGAACCCCACCGTCAGTGACGCAGCAGTCCAGCCACTGTCTGAGAGCTTTTCTCACTTTTCCTCGTTACCTGGCTCCCAAGTCAACAGGACATGCACATGCACATGGAGTAACTTCCTCTCACTGTCAACCGGAGACAGAAACGTGATGGTGACATCATCGTCTGCTTTCACGTTAGCACCAGCACCTCAACTGCCAGAGCCGTCATTTTCCATGGCAGCCAAAGCAGAGCAGTGGCCCCATGTGTAGCCCCAAGCAATTGGACTTTTCCAACAAGAACTGATCCCACCTGACAACAGAGGCAGCTAAACACCTTGAAAGCAGCTATAGCCCAAGTTTTCACCCCTTAAAATATTTTACTTCATAAACTATGATTGGTCATCTAAGAATATGTGCAAGTACAAGAATGTGTGTCTGTTCCAGACTTGCTCCAGGCTGACTAGCAAGAGAGGATGAATGCCCAGTCTTCTTGCCACTGCTCTTCCCTCAGGGAAAAATGGAAACCAAAGCTCTGCGAATACCAGGACTCCCAATCTTTCCAGGGTGTATAAAACCATTGGGAAGAGTCGTACGGCTGCCAGCACTGAGTCCTCGTTGGAGATGCCCATGTGGCTTCCAGTACTGAGTCAAGTAAGCAGTCTCCTGCAGTGTGGTTCCAGAGTGCGTATGTACAGTCTGCTGTCCGCACGGACCAGTTATAATCAGAGATTCTTCTCGTTCTTTCTGTACATCTCTGTCATGCACCTTATCAAATAATTTTTCTTGGACTGTTGGGGGCAAATCTTCGATATCTACAAAGAAAATTCAGAGTTCAAGATCATCTGGCAGCCTGCATGTTACAAGGTCACTTAGAAAACTGCAAGCAAAACTGCCCTTCCTCTGATGGAGAGGCAACTGCCTCTCTCCAGATCTGCTCTGTCAGTTCGTGACACACCATTACTGGAATACAATTTGGCGTTCATTGGATACCTCCATGAGCATGGCCAGCATGTCCTGCCTCTGGAAGAGGATGGACAGGTGCACTAATGTGTAGGCGACATTGAAGGTAGAAGGGGGTTCAGCAAGCACACCTTAGTAGCGAGGTGTACAGTGTCTCCCCTGGACGACTAGTCCACTTCAGTAACAGCTAAGACACCTTCTACAACTCCCCCTCCTCCCCACCCCTTTTGAAGACCTAGAGAATCAGTCTTTTTCATCCTGCTTTTAATTTGCTTTAGTTTTTTGAAGTCTACTTCAGGTTCTTCCTTGCTGCTCACAGCACCAGCCAATTCAATTCCATTTTCTCTGAAAATCCATTTCATTTCAGAGTCCCGCTTCATTGTTGGAGGTGATCTTTGGCTGTTACCACTCCAGCTTCCTTCCCAGCGCACCCAGTGCATTTATCATTGAGGAGGCCTCATCAGTTTCTGCCAGCTCTATTGCTTCAGTGTTACTAGGTCTGCGATGTTCCCAGTCACCACATTTTTAGGCTTAACCCAGTTTTCGTATGTGCAAACAGAACAAGACCAGTTCTGAGCCCTTGTGTTCAGTTTATTTCTATCGTTGTATTCCTCACAAGGATCAACAGAAAAGGCAACTGGTCTCGAGCCAGATCCTGAGGATTGAGGAGATTCTGTGGGACTTCTGGTCCTGTGCTGGGATAAGCACTGGGTGCACTGGATTGTCCTCGGCCAGTTCAAGTATGTGTACATGTGTAGCATGACCACTTGTTTGCATTTTCAGTCTCACGCTAGAGTCTAGACATAACAAAGGACTATATCCTTTCTTTGCTAGAAGGATCCCAGTCTCTGCAAACATCACTGGAACTGCTTTTCTTTTTTTATTCATTTTAATGAACATTTACAGAGATTTTGGATTTTCACTCATTCATTGTTTCACTTTTTTCTTTAACCCCTCCCCCCAGTTCACGCCTCTATTTTTTTAAAAAAAATTTATTTCATTATTTTCTGTATGTACCATCAAATCAGATCTGACTGGTACAGGAGGAGATTGTTCCTCCTTCTCCAGTAGAGCATCGGGTGGATTCAAACCTTGCATCTCTGAGATTGTAGTTGTAGCTTCTTGCCACTAGGCCACCAGAGCTCACCAAGTTTGCTCCTCTTTTTAAAAAGCAAAAGATAAACTTCTTCATTGGTACACAATCCCCCTGTGGCCCCCCCCCCCCAGATGCACTCCACTATGCAACCTTAATTCTGGATTCCTGTGATAATATGCTATCATATATCACTTTTAAACTGTTCTCTCCCTAATCTGTTTCAATTCAGTATACATAATCTATCCAGTTTTTAGCAATCTTACCCCAACCCTGATGGAACTGCTTTTAAATGGATCTTTTGTAATAATTGTTCCATTATGTCTCTGGGCACTTGTTCAGTATACACATGCCCACTTGATTCCACGTTCTGACATCTTACACTTCTTGGAGTTATGTCAGGCAGGAAGTACGATTTTCATTTCCATGCTATAACCTCCACCTTGCACAGGGTTAGAATAAAAGCATGGTTGAGAAACTAGACCAGCGACAAGACTCACTCTTCATGCTCTCTCAGAGTCTGACTTCTTAGGAGGTGCTGCAAAATGTGAAAGTGCCTTTGACTCCTCCTGCAGCTCTTCCTCCCCTCCCGGAGCTCGATGCCTGTGTTGGCAGAGATGACTGCCTGAGCCACCTGCAGCCATGCACAGTGCCCAGCCCCTCTGCGCCCTCTCCCACAGTCAGGACACGGTCTGCATGGGCCACATGTGTCTGCCAGAGGAGGAGGGGAGGAGGGGGGGAGCGAGAAGGAAGAGCAGCCATGGGAGCTGCAGGCTCCTAATGGCCTAAATTGACTTTTATTTTAGTTAAAATTCTTAAGGCTCTCTTATAAACTTGAGTCTAGTCTCCTTTGCAGCACAGAGAAGCTTTGTGATTCTCTCCAGAGGGAAATGTACTGTGATACACATTCATTACCATGAGGTAATTTTGTGGCAATTGAACCCACCCTTATTCATCTTCAGGCTTTGTGACATCTGAAATATTAAAATAACTCATGGACATATTTATTGTCCTTCCTCACCTGAGCTTTGTCCCAGTGATAGTACACCAGCTACACTTTTCTCTTTGGTCATCATAGGACCAAGGGACAGTGGAGGGAGGACTCCTCTAGGGCACTCATATTTGTGAGCACCAGGAAGGCAAGAGTTGTTGGGAAGCAGAGGGGGTAACAATGAGACTATATTTGGAAATATCACTTAGAAAAGGAAATTAGACTTTGAGACTAATGAAAATAATTTTATTCCCAAAGATGTAGAAAGATTAACTTTATAGTACCTCTTTTCTTTCTGTCACTTAACCATTGTCAAGATTTCCATTTTCTCATCAGGGAAAGGCACTTATTTTATTTAAAAGCACATTCGAGGATGTGCATTTTGCTTAATGCTTCCCAACATTGCTTTTCTGCAAATATCCTGCTTATAGCAATATCAAATGTCCGCTTTGGAATTAAGTCTTAGTAATTGGAGTCTCTGAGTAGCAAAACTTGGGGAGCTTTGCTAACAGAAAACTTGGAGGTGACGTCTACTCAGAGGTGCCTCAGAAGAACATGCTGTGATCAGCTACTTTAGAATCTTATAGGTCACAGTTCTCTTGTGACACAATGGAGCCCACTCTGCAGCAACAGATTTCTTAGTGGATAGGCTGCCATGTTCTCCGTTTGTCTGTCCTCAGAGTCTTCCTTTGTTCAGATGTCCATCCATAAGGCCTTATTAAACTTATTTATCATTCTGCATCAGTATATGAAAAGAAGTCTGTATATAAATGATCTTCTTTCAGTTTTCACAAAAATCACACTGTGTTCAAACTTTTTACAGATAATTGTATTCAAGTTAAAACCACCAAATCAAGTCTTCAGCAAGACAATTTCGGAAATGAAAAAATTAAATATTTTAGAAATAATTCCTTGGCTGACTTGGAAGAAAAAGAGAAATTTCATAAAATTGAAGATCAGCCCCCAGTCCAGAAGAAGCATTCGAGGTGAGTGACATTTATATAAGGAGAAAGGATATCACAACCTAATTGTTAGTAAAGTAATAGTATAAACATACCTAAACAATTAAGTCCTCAAAATGTTCACAAGACAGTATTTTAATAAATGTAAAATAGATAGATATTGAGGGCCTGAAATGTATTTGGTTGGGAAACAATGGCCAGGAAACCCTTGAGTAAGGAAGAGTGTCCACATGCGGTGTGCAAGCTCTCAGCCAGAATTCAGGTTGTTTTACTTAGAAACAATGTAGTGATAAGAATTAATAATTGACTTGCTTTTTGTCTTTAGGAAACAGCTAAGCAGTCATAGAAGAAGACAGAAAATCCTTACATGTGAACTTTGTGGGAAAACCTTTATGTATTCCTCGTCCCTTAAACGACATTTGGGAGGGCACAGTGGAGAGAAACCCCATGAATGTAAAGAATGTGGGAAATCCTTCACTTACTATGACTCCCTGCGTAGACATGAGAAAACACACAGTGAACAGAAAGCTTTCAAGTGTGAGCAGTGTGGTAAAAGTTTCACTTGTTCCAGATATTTAAAAAAGCACGTGAATATACACAGTGGAGAGAAACCCTACGAATGTCAGCTGTGTGGTAAACGCTTCGTCTGTCCCAGTTACTGTCAAAAACATGTGAAAATGCACAATGGGGAGAAACCCTATAAATGCACCCAGTGTGGGAAAGCCTTCACGGCTCTTTCATACTTTGAAAGTCACAGAAGAATTCACACTGGCGAGAGACCCTTTGTATGTAAACAGTGTGGGAAAACTTTCAATTGGTCCACCTCCTTACAGGTGCATATGAGAACACACTCTGATGAGAAATCCTATGAATGTAACCAGTGTGGAAAGATGTTCATACACTCCTTCTCGCTGAAACTGCACTTACGGCGGCACAGTGGAGTGAAGCCCTACGAGTGTAAGGAGTGTGGGAAAGCCTTCAGTTGTCCCTCATACTTTCGAGAGCACGTGAGAATGCACACTGGAGAGAAACCCTATGAGTGTAAGTATTGCTGGAGAGCCTTCAGCTTTTACTCCTCCCTGCAAGAGCATGAGAGAACTCACACTGGTGAGAAGCCCTACAAATGCAAGCAGTGTGGGAAAGCCTTCACGTGCTATTCTGCTCTTCATGCTCATGGGAAAACACACAGTGAACAGAAACCTTACCTGTGTAACCTGTGTGGCAAAGGTTTCAGATGTCCCAAATACTTCCGACAACACGTGAAAATGCACAATGGCGAGACACCCTTTGAATGTAAGGAATGTGGGAAGGTCTATACAATGCCCGCTAACCTCCAACAACATATGAAAACACACAGTGGAAAGAAGCCCTATGAATGTCATGAATGTGGGAAAACCTTCAGCTGGCCAACCTCCTTACGCTTACACATGAGGACACACTCTAATGAGAAGCCGTACGAGTGTAAGCAGTGTGAGAAGAGTTACAAGTGTCCCATCTCCCTTCGAGAACACATGAGAAAGCATGCTGGGGACAAACCTTAAGAATGCAGGGCATGTTGCAAAGTCTTCACTCCCACTGAAAGCCTTGTTAAAAACTCAGGAGAAAACAGTTATAAACCTGTATGAACATAGAGAATATGGGAAAACCTCCAGGAATCACAATTCAATTATTGTGTTCACAGAATTTAAGAGGATGAAGTCTTTTCACTGTTTCAAGTGAATCGCCCTTGAAAGTTGTAGGGAACACAGTTCCACTCTCACATGTGGATTTTTAGGAGTCAGAAACAGTCGGGGGGCAGGGGCAGCAGGTTTGGTTTTTTATTTTCCTGTAGCCTTTCCACTGTAACATGTATTTTGTTACATACGTATTTAAATAATTGTACACTTTCATAAAACTTATTTCCCTTAAAATGCTTTTGGCATTAGATGAATCTTTGGTTTTTATTAAAATACAACATGATGTAATTTTATGTAAAATGCTTTTGAGTCCTTTGTTTTAACTCATCCTTGTTATATAGCCATGTATGGGATTCTGGGACTATTCAGATGTATTTCCTGGACTACTGTTGCAGATAAAGTAATTTGCTGAGTCACATATCCTTTCTTCCTTATTAACAATTCCTAGCAGAAATTACTAATTATGTTAAGATCCTTAAACAGGACCACCAAATTTTTATTTTCTTATTTTGAATTTTGCTTTTGATTATGCAAAGGCGTTTGACTGTGTGGATCATAACAAACTGTGGCTGACTCTGAGAAGAATGGGAATCCCAGAACACTTGATCGTGCTAATGTGAAACTTATACTTGAACCAAGAGACGATTGTCAGAACAGAGCAAGGAAAGACTGCATGGTTCAAAATTGGGAAGGGCGTATGCCAGGGATGCATCCTATCTCCATACCTTTTCAACCTATTTGCAGAACAGATTATCCGAGAGGCTGGGCTCTACGAGGAGAAATGTGGGGTCAAGATTGGTGGAAGATCTATCAGTAATCTGTGATATGCAGATGACACAACCCTGCTTGCTGAAACTGAGGAGGACCTGAAGCACCTGCTGCAGAGGGTCAAAGACTGCAGCCTCCAATATGGATTGAGGCTCAATGTCAAGAAGACAAAGATTCTCACCACTGGACCAACTGACAGCATCAGGATGGATGGTGAAGAGATTGAGATTGTTCACAGCTTTAGTTTGCTTGGATCCACAGTCAACACTCTTGGCACCACTAGCCAGGAAATTAAAAGGCACATTGCCATGGGAAAGTCTGCTGTTAGGGACCTCTCCAAAATATTGAAGAGCAGTGGTGTCTCTCTGGAGACTAAGGTGTGTATGATACAGGCCAGGGTCTTTGCTATCACTTGTTATGCATCAGAGAGTTGGATAATGACTTTGGAGGATAGAAGGAGAATTGATGCCTTTGAGCTGTGGTGCTGGAGAAGAGTATTGAGAATACCATGGACTGCTAGGAAAACAAACAGATTCATCCTGGAAAGGGTTAAACTGGGTGGCTTCTTGGAGGAAGGATTCTGAGGCTCCGTCTGACATACTTTGGACATGATGTAAGGAGAGACTGGTCCTTGGAGAGGGACATCATGCTTGGGAGGGTGGAGGGACAGTGCAGGAGGGGAAGGCCCTCTATGAGGTGGATTGATTCAGTGACTGGGGTAATTGGGATGAGAGTGTCCAAGACAGTGCAGTTGGCACAGGACAGAGCGCAGTTTAGGGCTGTTGTACATAGGGTCACTATGAGTCGCAAGCAACTCAACGGCACATAACAACAACAACCTTTTGAATTTTGCTTATTTTCCTTGACCTTTTTTCCATTTCATTTGGGTTTATTTAAACACTGTTCTGAAAGTATTTGGGTGGGATTTGGCTTCCTTTAGTAAACAAAGGACTTGAAAAAAATATTTTAAAGTGAACATGCAATCTTCATTTAATCTGTGACCCATGTATGAAGCACCCATTGTATTTCACATCACTCAAAGGCTAGATGGAAGGAAATCATCAATTATTTCATCTTATTTGGATCCACAATCAGCACCCTTTGTACCAACCATAAAGAGAGCCAGAGACATACTGCATTGGGAAAGTCCTGAAGAATAATGATGTCAGTTCACAGACTGAAGTGTGCCTAATTCAAGCCATGTTTTCCAGTCACCTATTGTGCATCTGTGAGCTGGACAATTAATGAGGATTATAGAAGAATTGATGCCTTTGTTGTGGTGCTGGGAAAGAGCACTGAATAGCCCATGGACTGAAAAAAAAAACACAACAAACCAAACAGCTATGTCTTAGAGAAAATGCAGCCAGAGTGCTCCTTGGAGCCAAGGATGGAGACGTTTCATCTTACTGTGGGCATATTGTTAGGAGAAGCTAATCCTTGAAAAGGGACATCATGGTTGGAAAAGGAAGAGCCTGGGGATTGACAGGCGGCACCAATGGACATGTGTCGGAGATGCCAGAGTTCGGTTCTCTTGATCAAGTCGTTCTGAGTCATACGAGACTTGATGGCACGTGATGACAAAAGCTAGAAGAACAAGAGTACATTTGTGGTAAAATATTGTCACTTGGTGGTAACTAGTTGAAATAGCATTATCACCTTATCATACATAGCCTGGGGGAGAGGGAACCTTTTGTAAAGCATATTGCGTAACTTACACCCTGCTATACATAATACAGATCACATAAAGCTGCCAAATCCATTAGCTATAGGACTTTTAGTGAAATGGAGGGAAAAGGATACTTTTGTCTTTTAAGTTTACTACTGACAATTTGAACAGTTCTAAATTTAATAGTTGGACTTCTACTTTTTTAAACACTTTTTGTCATTTATTATTATGGGTTTTGGCTAGGATACCATCGATTTGGTAGAAAAACTCTCTTCAGGGAAGTTTTGTAAATAGAAACTTCAATCAGAATTGAAACTGTTAAATACTTGAAAACCATACAAGTACTGAACCGCTCAAATGAAGACTGAAAACATTTCAGCTTCACCATCCTGAAAGAGGTAAAAGTCCCCTAACTTCATTAGGCACCGTTCAGTTTTTAAACATAATAACAGTTGTCCCAAATCAGTATTCCAATTCTAGGGAATGTTTCAGAAAGTCCTCAGTGCCATCCTTTAATTAATATGAGAGTAGGATCAAGGTCTGCACTGGGATCCTATTCTCCAGGACTTGGGCAGGGGGAAAGTCTTCTGTGCATCTGATCGTGTGCTGGGCAGCTCTCCACCCTCTCTTCTATATCCTCTATCTTCTATATCCTCTGTAGTACTGCCTATCACAGCCTTCATCATGTCCTCTCACAGTGATCCTGTCGGCTGCCTTAGATCTTCTCATAGAAATTCCAGGTGCTGGGATAAGTGGGGTTTTTGTTATGGAGAAATGAATAGCTATTAAGTTCCATTCCACTGGCATGCTTTTTAGCTTCCTTGGCATCATCTACATTTTAGAAAACCTACAAAGGCAAATCCTCTTGAACATGAAGACTGCTGGTCATATACAACAGACACATCCACAATGGAACTATACATAGAACATTTCTGCTGCATTTCTTTCTTTAGTATATGATTTAACCCAGATCCAGGAGGCTGGGGTTTATGAGGAGTGTGGCATCAGGAGTGAAGGAAGACAACTTGGGTTTTGCAGATGACACAACCCTGCTTGCTGAAACTGAGGAGGACCCGAAGCACTTGCTATGGAAGATCAAAGACTGCAGTTTCAATATAGATTGAAGCTCAACATCAAGAAAACAGATCTGGGCTGATTGGCAGCATTAGGGTGAAGAGATTGAGACTGTAAACAGTTTCAGGTTGCTTGGCTCCACAGTCAACACTTTTGGTGCCAGCAGCCAGGAAATCAAAAGATGAATTGCACTGAGAAAGTCTGCTGTCAGAGACCTCTCCAGATTACTGAAGAGCAGTAATGTCAGTGTGGAGACTTAAGGTGTGTGTGATCCAGGCCATGGTCTTTTTGATCACTTGCTATGCATCTGAGAGCTGGACAATGAATAGGGATGTTGGAAGAATAATTAATGCCTTTAAGCTGTGGTCAGAGAAGCATTGAACATGAATTGCCAAAATAACAAATAGTCTTGGAGAAGGTGCAGCTGGAGTGCTCTTTGGAGGCAAGGATCATGATGCTTCCATCACATACTTCAGACATGTTGCTAAGAAAGGGCTATTCGTTGGAGAGGGACATGATGTAAAGGTGGAAGGCTGGCAAAGAAGAGGAAGACCCTCGACCATGTGGATCGACATGGTGACTACCACAGTGGTCTCCAGTGTGTGCAGAAGTCTGAAGAGGACAGGACAGGGTTCAGATCTTTTGTTCATAGAGTCACTGTATGAGTCGTGCTCAAGGGTACCTGACAGCACCACCAGTGGCCTAGTCTGTTGGGAGATGCACTGCTACCTGAAAGGCTGTGCTGTCGGTTCAGATCCATCAGTGGCTCCACAGGGAGGCATCTCATGAGATTTACAGCCTCGGAAACTGAGTGAACAATCTATTTACCAAGAACCTGTTGTCCAAACAGAACAAGAACTGTATGTGTGCACCAGGGTTGTGTCCATTTTATCCCTGTCATTTCAGTCCGTGTGCTGAACAAATCATTCAAGCAGCCGTAATACATGAAGAAGAATGTGGTATCAGCACTGGAGACTAATCAACCACCTGTGTTACGCCAGTGATGCAACCTTGCTTGCAGAAACGAAGGAGTTGAAGCACTTGCTACAGAAAAAGACTATAGAGCCTTCAATATGGATTACATCGCAACATCAAGAAAACAAAAATCCTCACTGCTGGAACAATAGGCAACATCATGATGTTGTTGTTGTTGTTGTTATGTGCCGTTGAGTCGCCTGCGACTCATAGCGACCCTATGTACAACAGCCCTAAACTCCGCTCTGTCCTGTGCCAATCGCACTGTCTCCGACACTCCCATCCCGATTATCCCAGTCACTGAATCAATCCACTTCATAGAGGGCCTTCCTCTCCTGCGCCATCCCTCCACCCTCCCAAGCATGATGTCCCTCTCCAAGGACCGGTCTCTCCTCACTACATGTCTGAATTGAAAAAAGTTTGGAGTTGTCATTGATTTCATTTTACTTGGCTCCACAGTGAACACCCACAGTAATAGGTGTCAAGAAGTCAAAAAAACCTCTTGCGTTGTGAAAATCTGCTGGCAAGGATGTCAGTTTAAAACTGGTGTAGGGAGCTCTCAGGAGTACTGAAGAGCAATAACGTCAGGCTGGAGACTAAGGTGCGCCTGATCCAGGCTATAGTCTTTGCAATTACGTGCTATGCATCAGAGAGTTGGACAGTGAATAGGGATGACAGAAAGAGAATTGATGCCTTTGAGCTGTGGTGCTGGAGAAGAGTGTTGAATATACCACGGACTGCTAGGAGAACAAACAGGTTTGTCCTGGAGAGGGTGAAGCCAGAGTGTTCCCTGGAGTCAAGGATTCTGAAGCTTCGTCTGACATACTTTGGGCTTGTTGCAAGGAGGGACTAGTCCTTGGAGAGGGACGTCAGGGTCCTGGCAGCCACCTTAAAACTGGGCACTCCCCAAGTGTCCACCACCAACAGTGTCCGTGGTGGGTCAGCAGCGCGGGCTCACTTGGAGGAACCAGTGCTGGGAGGGAGGCCGAGGCCAGCTTCATTCCCTCCACGGAGGAGCCTCGCACAGCAAACCCGTCCCCTGTAGGATGTCCAGCCGCAGATCTGGTCAGGGGTCAGGGGACTGCAGGGCCTGGTGACAACGACTGCTACGGGTGGCTCCCCTCCTCTGGACACGGAGAGCGCGCATTGGACCCCGCGCCGCACACCGGGACGAGAGCGCGCATTGGACCCCGCGCCGCACACCGGGACGAGAGCGCGCATTGGACCCCCGAGCACGCATTAGCCCCCAGAGCGCACACCGGGCCCCGAGAGCGCGCGGTGGACCCCAAGAGGGCGGCGGCTGGCCACCGGCTCCTCAGGACAGGTCAGCGCTGCCTGCTGGGGTCCAGGTCAGCCGGGGCCTCATCCATCAGCGCCGGGTGCTGACACTATGGCGACCGGGTACTAAAGCATAACGCCTGGCCCAGAGGAAGGTCACTGTCCAGTCACCAGACTCAACTCCCAAAGACTATGACTAGAAACGGCTCTGTGGGGACAAGCGCAGCCGGACACGACCCTCGCCGCCCCCTCATCGCGCAGACTCCGTCAACCCAGCCCCGCCCGCCATGGCCCTTCCCAGAAGCCCTTGCGGCAGGCTGCGCGGCGAGGGGCGTGGATCGCGCGGGGTCTCGCGAGAACAGGAGCCGAGCCCGAGCCGCCTGAAGGTCTCGCCCAGTCCTGCCCTTCCCCCCACGCCCAGCCCCCGCCCGCTGCAGCGCAGGCCTGGCCTCTGGAGGCCAGTCGCTCACCCCACATGCTGCCTTCCCACTTTAGAGAGACTGTGTTCCATAATCCTCACTGTCAGTCATAATTTTGTTATGATCCAAGTCAAATCCTTTGTATCATCAATAAAGCACAAATAGACATTCATCTGGTATTTTCTGCCTTCAGCCAGGATCCATGTGAATTCACCAATGACATCCCTTCAGTGAGGGTTGAAAACAGCTTTCAATATGGATTGCATCTCAACATAAAACAAAAGTTCTTATCACTGGACCATCAGGAACCATCATGCTAGATAAAAGATTGAAACTGTCAATGACTTCATCTTACTTGGATCTACGGTCAACACCCCTGGTACCAGGAGTTAGAAAGCACATTGCATTGGGAAAGTCTGCAGACTTTTGAGGAGTAATGATGACAGTTTGAGGACCAAGGTGCGTCTGACTGTGGCCATAGTCTTTTCAGTCACTTGCTATGCATCTGAGAGCTGGGCAATGAGTACGGTGACAGAAGAAGAATTGATGTCTGTGAGCTGTGGTGTTGGAGAAGAGTGCTGAATATCCCATGGACTGCTGAAAGAACAAGTCTGTGTTAGAGGAAGTGCAGCCAGGCTGGCCATGTCGTTGGGAGGCGTCAATCCTTGGAAAAAAGAGAGCATACTGGGGAAAAAATGGAGGGTCAAAGAAACAGAAGACTTTTAATGAAGTGCATTGACAGTGACTACCACAGTGGGCTTCAGCAGGGCACACTGAGCTGGGCAGAGGTTTGCTATGAGTCAGAGTCAATTGAAGGCACCTAGCCACTGGCTTTTCTCTGCGCTCTCCAGTTACTCAAGCAGGGCATGTCTTCAGCATCTCCACTAGATCTCCACTAGACAGAACTGGGAGAGACCCATCTCCTTTAGAATAATAGTGCCTTTTCATCAACACTTCATTAGTTAAATATTCATTAATGAATAACTGGAAACCCTAAGTCTCTGTAAACTTTAATTAAAATTTAAAAAATTCATTAGTAAATATATTAATGAAGAACAACATTTGTTTACTAAACATCTCAGTAGTACCTGGGACCTCCTTTAGGAAACCATCTTCTCCCTGGTTTACAGACTGCCTTAGACTGCCTTTAAAAAAAAACACCACCAAAATAAAAATGCACCCTTTCTGAGGCTGAAGTTTACACCTTTAGTTTCATCAAGGAACAAAAATCCTGTGCATCAACAAGAGATGTTCTGACCTAGTAGGAAAGAATTTTAAAACAAAAACAAACACACCAAAAAAAACAAATAAGTAGTAAGTAGTTTCTAGCAGTGAATATGGAGGGAAAGTGGATACAGACTTTCCTGTTTTCCCATTTACCTTTTTACTACACATGGCATGCTGGATAAAACGACCTTTCCCTTCTACTGGAGCAGAGTGTGTTTCCCCTAAGGCACTTCAAGTCTAAGAGGCCAGCAACAAGTGATTGGTCACAAGGCCCAGGCAAATCCTACATAAGCTTCCCCAGGTGTTTCTTCTTGACAACTGCAATCATGAACTAAATTCACAAATTCTCAATTTAAGATATCTGAAAGAGCTTGCAGGTGCTATGCATGTGCAGAAGCAAAAAAAAAAAACAAAACAAAACACCAAAACAAAACCAAACACCAGAAAGAAACCAACCAACCAACCAACCCACAAAAGTTATGGGGCCATGGCAACAGGCCAGAGTAGAAAACTGCTATTTCTTTGCTGTTGTTATGTATCATTGATTTGAGACCAACTCACAGCTGTCTCTCTAGTGGGTTTTCAGAGGCTATGGAATGCAAAGAAGATTGTTCATCCCCTCCCCATCCCACCCCCCGCAGAGCAGCCAGTGGAAAGTGAGGAGGACTTGAAGCCCTTTTTCAGAAAATCAAAGAATGCAGCTGTCATCATGGATTGCGTCTCAACGTCAAGAAAACAGATTCTTACCACTAGACTGATAGGCAATATCATGATGGATGGAGATTGAAACTGTCAACAGCTTCATCTTATTTGGATCCACAGTTAACACCCTCGGTACCAGTAGTCAGGAAATCAGGAGATGCACTGCACTGGGTAAATCTGCAGTCAGGGACCTCTCCAAATTATTGAGGAGTAATGATGTCAGTTTGAGGACTAAAGTGCATCTGAGAGCTGGACAGTGAATAAAGATGACATACAAAGAACTGACGCCTTTGAGCTGTGGTGTTGGAGAAGAGCACTGAACATCCCATGGACGGCCAAGAGAATGAACAGACACATGTTGGAGAGGGTCCAGCCAAAGTGTTCTCTGGAGGCAGGAAAGATGAGACTTTGCCTCACATACGTTGGGCATGTTGCTGGTGGGGGGGCACTATTTCTTAGAGAAGGACATGATGCTGGGAAGGGTGGACGGTCAGCGAAGGAGAGGAAGACCCTCAACCAGGTGGATTGACATGGTGACTACTGCACTGGGCTCTTGTGTGTCTGGAAGTGTGAGGCTGGCGCAGGATAGAACAGGGTTCAGATCTTTTGTTCATAGGGTCACTATGAGTCGTGCTCCACTTGATGGCATCTAACAACAACCTCCACCACCACCTGAGGGTTGGCAGCACAACTCCTTACTGCTAAGCCACCAGAACTCTAACATTTCTTTAGTAATAATTTAAAGGGACAAGTATCCTTTTTCTACAGAAGGACAATTAAAGGAAATCTATCAGGCTGGACCTTCTTAGCCTGTTGTTAGGGCTGTGACTTAGACTCTGAGAACAACAGATCTAAACCTTGTCCTTCCTGCACCATCCTCAAGATACCCATCAAGCGCAAATTCAGGGCTGTAGTCACTACGCCAATCCATCTGGTTAAAGGTCTTCTCTTTCATTGATCCTCCACCTTTCCCAGCATGATCTCTCTTTCCAAGAACTACTTCCACCTCTCTTTGCCTCTAGGGGACACCCTGGCTGCACTTCTTTCAAGATAGACTTAAGTCTTGGCAGTCCATGGAATACTCTTCCCCAGTACCATGATCCAAAGGCATAGATTCTTCATGCTTCCTTATTCACTGTCCAACATCTATCTAGCTCTAGCTCTAGCGCGCTCTCTCTCTCTCTCTTCATTTTAATGAAAGCTTGCTTGCAGAGACTTTGGATTTCCATTAATTCATAGTTGGATTTTTCTCCCTGCCCAACCTCCCCCTCCCCCAGTTTGCTCTTCTCTTTGAAAAGTAAATGGAAAATTACTTCATTGTTTTACAATCCCTCCCCTCACGTCCACTCTACTATGCAGCCTTCATTCTGGAATCCTGTCATGACAATACCTAATCATATATTGCTTTTAAACAGTTTTCTCCCTCATCTGTTTCAATGCAGTATACATTATTCAGCCCATCTTTCTGTCTCCCCCTAACCCCGATGTCAGTCCTGTTTACAACAGTGGCACTATGCACTATTT